TTGTCACTCACCATTGCAAACATACACAGTACCTTCCTGCCTCTAACCCTTGCCCCAGCTTTTTTATTTGAATGTTAGGCAATGTCAAGATAATACGTGATAGCAGTTTTGATGTTAGAGCTGTGAAGGAAATGGGTAAAAAAGGTGGCATAGTCAGTGGGTCAGCATCTGTCAGATGGTGTCTGGTGGCTTAAGGTTAAGTATACAAATTTCTGGGAAGACACACTGGATTTGATAGCTGGAGCCTTAGAGCCTGATTTCCACCTAAACTAAATGTTTTTAGTAGTAGCTCTAAATCTTCGGTGAGATACAGCAGTCATGTATAAAACTGTTCAACAAGAACATATTGTAAGCTGAAGGGAGGAGGATGTGCACCCAGGAGTAGGAATGAAATACAGAAGAGGGAGGTAGAGGCAAGACTGCTGTTTCCTGAGCCCGGAGAAATGAGGGCATTCAGAGGAATGTAGCCACAAGAATTTGATGCCAAAATATTTTGCTACTTTTTCCTCACTCATATAGTAGAATTTCCCAGTTATCTTTAGGAGAAGAAGTAAGTTATTCAATGTTAATCTGTTTCAGATCTCAGCACCACTCATATAAGTCGGGAGCTGTTCCTTCAGCCAACCAATCAACTTCATACAGATGATAAACTGAGAAAGGAGTTTGGTCCTAGAATTATGTTTCAGTTCCTGGTTATACATCTGAAGTCTCCCCTGAAAGTAAGATATATGTTTGGAGACTTATTCCCCCTTTACACTTGTTTAACCTCTTTGCATTTATCAGTCACTACCTTTTATTAGTTGTGAGCATTATCATGCCTGGATGGTGGGGTAGTTCATTTTTTCGAAACCAATCCCTAGCTCAATCTCTAGCAGTACTGAGAGAACTAAGATTGCAAAGGGATAAAAGACTTTTTCCCTTTAAATAGTCTCTTTTTCTTAAAGAGTCTAATACAATAAAAGGTCTGCAAGCTTAATCAATACAGCATTACTAAAAACATCTTTCAAAATCCTTTAGCACTTTTCACTGTACTCCTATTTCTACTACTGTTCAAGCTATCTGCTTCAGTATTCAAGTAATAAAATAATTTCAAAAGTATCGAGCCTTTTAATTTTTTTTGGGGGGATTAAGATTACTATTTGACAAAACATTATATTATAGTCTAAATCTGTTGGGATTTTTTCCAAGATCTTAGGTTTTGGTTGTGCAGTAATTGGACTTTCTTTTCATGGTGTGACAGATTCTGGATTTTTTTTATTTATTTGATTTTAAAAACTACTAAAACACATGTCAGAAAACCACATTGATTATTTTTTTTTATTGATAGAGGTGAAGGGATTATATTCTGTTATTCTTTCTGGCAAAGAGTGGCTTCATGTTTTAATGACAAGATGTTAAGAAGATTATTACAAGAGGATGCTTGCTGAAAATGTAAAACCAAATGATAATTTTTGTGTGTGCGTTTGATTAATTTTAATGTTGATTGACACTGCACTAGGGTCTGTGGACTCTCTTTCTACTTTCCCCATGACAAATAAAAAGTTTAAAGGCGGCATTACAGTGGAGAAGAAAGGGGGAGTTGTAGAAGAGCGCTCTTGAGTTTTGGGTTGTTAAAGAGGTTTTTATGCCATCTTTTCTCCTCACACATACCATAGGGTTATAGCTGAAAGTTAGGAAGGTGGCTGAAGCATATCTTCATGCTCCAGCATGCTCCAGTTGATGGAACAGCTTTTGCAGGTGATAGACTTGTAGGTTTATGATGGGAAGCAGCCTTGCAGCCAGATGGTTCTGGGCATATGTGTTTATGAGAAAGTGGCTCTAAGTCACTTTACCTCCTTTGGAGCTGTGCTGAGCGCAGCTTAGGTTCAGGCAGCTCTGTTTTCAGTGTCATCCTCCTTTTCTGTTCTGTGGCTTGCATTTCTCTTCTGTTTGCTTTGGTTATTTTCTATTCAGTGTAAAGGTGAAGGAGTGGCTAATACTCCTGCCCTGGAGAATTACAGTGAATGAGAACATGTCTTCTGCCCCTTTGCAAGCTACTTAAGACTTAGATATGGGTCCCCAGGAGGAAAAATGGATTATATTCCTGCTTGTTCCATCCTAAGAACAGACAAGCAGGGTATGTATAGATCTTTGGCTCCTATTTTAATACTTCCTGGGATGTATTTGATGCTGATATGTATAAGCCTTTTCTCTTCCTTTTTAAGTTGAGTGCCTGTCCATGAAAGATACTTCAAGAGAGGTTGAGAATTTGGTAATGAAAGTTCAGGCTGGGTCATGGTAACCCTAGCTAGAACAGCTTGGAGGGTGGTAACAAAATGTAACTTTGCAGCATAGCTGGGAGCGGTTTAACCTGGTGGTGGTCTCAGTATAAAACCAAGCTCTGGTATGTGGACACATATGATACGGATCTGTAAAAGCATGAATGGCTTGGGGAGAATGAAGTAGGGAACAGTAATGCACTGTGTCTTCTAGTGCCAGAACTAGGGAGCAGCAGATGAAACCAGCAGACGGGCAGATGTTTGAAACAGGTATCTTCACACAACAGATCACTGAACTGGGAAATGCTTTTTTATAAGGTGTTGCAAATGCTGAACATTTATATGGGTTCAGAAAGCAACTGGCCAAGTTCATAGAAGATAACTATTAAATGCAAAGATACTAATCTGCTCAGGATCCCTTGTGCCATGAAGTGCTGGGTGCTGGGAGAGCATACTGGGGAAGTATCACTGTATGCTTGTCCTGTTTTATACCCCTTCTGGGTGTCTGCTACTGGTTATTGTTGAAAACAGGATACTGATATATGAGGACGTTTAATGGGACCTGGTTCAGTAACCTTTTGCTCTTGTGCCTGTAAAAAATGCACTCAGATTTTGGATTGCAATGTAGATTTACTATTGGAAGCATATTTTGATGCACACTGTCATTTAGGACTGCTTTTTGTGTAGCATGCATTCGATAACACTCCTAGTTGGATGCTATGTATATGGTCTCAATGCAGCTTTCACGAAATAATGGAAAAATGGGTGATCAAGTTGTATGGTGCCAGGACTGTACTTGCATGTTGTGTTTATCATTGTATTTTCTTATTTCATTGTAAATGTTAGGATACCTTTTGTTTTTCTTTGTGTGATAAACATGTTAGATTGGAGGATGATAAATTTTTAACTGAGTGACGAGCCACATCTAAACCTCCCAATTTGTGTATTAGGAGAAAAAACAAAAGAAAAGGGCAGAAGCATTTCACCTCTTTGCAGTCTTTCTGAATGCAAAATGTAGAAGTCAAATTTAATGTCTAATGGTAGATTGGTAAACAGGATTATTGCCTGGATGGAGTAAATCCTCAAGTGTTCCACCCATTTTATTTTGCTGTATAACAATTCTGAAAGCAACTCTCAGAAGGACCAATACATGGAGCATTTTCTAGTACCGCTTAGAATGCACATGTATATTTGTTGTTATTTATTTACCTCATCCCACTTTTGTTTATTCCTATTTTAGCTTTTTAATTTGCAATTCAACTTCTTTAGCTTTGAAAGCTATTGAATATTTCACTGTGCCTTAAATGATTCTGTATTTTTAGACAAAATGGTAGCACAGTGTGCTATAGATGCAGCCTATATAATATTGTCTTTTTTCCAAGTTAGTCTCATGACATTGTTAAAACTCGGCACTGCATTTACAGAGTCAGTGTTCTCATTTAGCCTTCCTAGCCTGTGATTAAATGGGAGTTGCTGCTTGTTGTACTATGGGTTGGCTGACAAAAGCTAAATCTGTCACAGGTGCTACAATTTGTGTATCAGAAAATTTGCTTTCCAAATACCAATTATTCCCAAAGTATCTTACTTCACACAAAGCACAGATAACAGAGTCAGCAAATTTGTCCCAGTTTTATCATTGTGCTGTAAATTAGGGTTTGTCTCCTACCATTGTGTAAAGTGAAGATGGTAGAAATTCAAATGCAGGAGAAGCCATTGATTTTACAACCTCTGATGTGTTTTTTCACTTAATTCTTCCAATCAAAATGCTTGAAATGTATGTTATTCAAATAATCATTGCTGAATTTCACTTCTGTAATTGAATGAGCTGTTGTCTAGGGTCACAGGATGGTGGGAAACTAACAGTGTTGTCTCTCCAGATGTCGTTAAAAATTGGAAGCGTTTTGTGCCTCAAAGCCCCAGACCTAACCTGGTCATATGCTTAAACTATTAATTTGGGAAGTTAATTTAATATGACGGTAGCTTATCAGGAATTATCTTTCTGGTTGCTATGGGAGAAGAATGGACCCTAAGTCATTGAAACTGCGGCTGAATAAGTGAAAGCATTCAGTTTATAACCTCCTCAGACTCTGAGTCACGTATGTCGTGAAAACACCCATGTAGGTACCTGTGCACAAGCACAGAGTTGAGTTCCCGTCACCCCTCTTCCACCGCTACCTGTTGTGGAGAGCCTTTGTGATAACCTGTTACCGCCCCAGTTGCCAGTATGATGTATTTTGACATTGAAATGCCAGGATCTCCCTAGATAAGAGTTTGTAGTTCAGGTAGGCTATTGCTCAGTTAAATCTTTTGTAACAATTCTAGCTGTCACTCGAGTGAGCAAATTTGTGACACTAGCGGCAGAATGACCTGCTAAAATAGCAACTGGAACTGTGTTTCAGCAGCTTCTCCTTTCATTGCCGAGAACTACCTAGGAATCCCTTCTGAGATTAGACAAGTATTTTAAATGTATATTCAAAATATTTAGCTTATAGAGTGACTTACACAGAAAAAGAATAGAGCATTGAATGCTCTAAATGAAACTTCTAGCAACAATTTTTGCATTGTAAACTAGCCTAAGAAACTGTTTATTTACTTCCTTAGGATGAACATATTGTATATTTCTAGATTTCTGACAAATGCAAACATTGATGTGATTTAACTTCTAATAGCAGTGATTCACAGCTCTTGTTGTTTGGCTTGTGTATAGTAATACTGATTTGTATTTTTATTTCATTTCTGTAGGACTATTTAACCATTCACAAGTATGGCAATGCAGCCAGAAATGATCTCTGGAACACATTGTCAAAGGTAAAACGCTTTAATCTATTGCACTGAGGGAGAAGCAGGAATTTACTGTGTTATTTTTCTTGGTGAGGTTAGGAGTGAATAGTGCATAATGAGATCTTCAGACCCCAGAGCAAATATAAAAATTGATGCAAAGAAATTCCATTTGAATTAACCTAGTGGCAACATTAAAATATGTTTTTTGCAGCATTTCTCTTCTTTGTTATGTTAGAATATGTTTCCTTGTTTGTGCTATGTCACTGATGTGCAGTAAAAGATAATTTCATGGAATCTGCTATCTTTGACTTTAGTGGCAGCACGCTGAGGCCCGTAAGCTGGAAAGCACATGAAAGTGCTGAGCTTTGGCATTTATATCAGGTGTGTTTGCGATTTTGTATGGAGTTACGATTTGTGTGAAGGACAAAACTATTAAAGCTTTAAAGTTTGGTGTAAACAGATAACTATTCACTGTAACATTTGGCATGCTGTAGAGACTTATAGTTGCTATGTCCAAGCTCGTCTTGAGTTTCTAGAGCCTGGTCCAGGTATCTATAAGGGCAGAGTTTAATTTTTGTAAAGTGAGCCAAGCATGCCTGAATTTCTCACCTACAGAGCTCGTCCGGGCACTCCAGAATAAAGACAGAGTGCAAGCCAATGTAGAGTACAGTCAGGGAGTTTGGGCACAAGTACCAACTCAAGCCATGTGTAAACATGGTAATCTAATTGTAACTATTGACGCCAAAGCTGGGATTCAGCTGGAGGTCAAGACATCTGCATTTATCTAGACAAGCAGGTATATACATGTAAGCTAGGTGTCCAAGCTCCACTTGTTGTCAGTGAGGGCTGGAGTCAGTTGCCTGTTCATAGACATCTAACAACGTTTACCTTAATTTGTCCTACCTGGCTTCCAGGTACCCTTCTGGAGTGGCAGGTCAAGGTCAAATGACATTAGCCACCTATATGTGGGCAACTGAACTGAGTCCTATGTCTGTACTGACTGTTAATGAGAGTTGAGACGTGTAACATACAGGCAGGCTCTGACTATGTCTTAATGTCTCTATGTCTTAATCTGAACTTGAATGCCACTGCAAAAGTCTTTCTTGCTTCTCACCTGGTGTCTTCCTCTGTTAAAGCCTTTAGGACAGTTCTCGGTGATGGGAGGTCAGAGGGATGAATGTAATCTTGAGAGAACAACAGAACCCACAGCTAATAAAATAGAACAAAAATGAGACTGTATTCTGTTCCATAACCACTACAGCTATGCTGTGTGCTCAAATCTATTGTTAAGGCTAATAATTCCGTTTGTGTCACCTGTAAGCACGTTTGTTGCCAGCCGCTTAGTTCCTAATGCATTGCAATTGCAGCTTCAGTTCTGAAGACTTCTTGCTGGGTTCTGCTTGTATTCATCAGAGGTTGCTCAGTCTGTGATCTAGGACTGTTCGGCAGCTAGGGACATGTCTGTCGCTGAAGAACAAATGATGCCTTTGACATACGGTATCAAATATGAACACATTAATCCTCCATGTGTTATGACAGGTACAGTTTATGAAGGAGCTGGCGATATCTTTGTATACATGGCCTCAGTTTGGACATGAGGGACAGTATTTTCAAATAACTAGTAATTTGATTTTCATAACAGAGAAGCTCTGTACTTTTAGAAATCAGGCCCTTTGAATATGCCTTATTGTAGATACCCTAGATCAACTAACACTGAGTTTTTTTTAACCTTAGCTGGTCAAGAATATGTTTTGGAGACAGCCACCCAGTATTTCTGTGGCTCTTGTTAAAACCCTGTAAAGCAGGTTGTTTCTTCTGTTACAGCAAAAGTGGATGAATGATGTGGGAAACATGACTTTCTGGCTGTCACTCTCCTCTCTGGCAAGATTGCTCAATGTTTATTTTTAAGATATGCAGAGACTGTTGATTAAATTCTGTAGTGTGTGTGCACTTGGTGTAAATGTGTGTGCGTGCATGCGTGATGGTTATTTAAACCTCTAAAACTAATTATGGTCTCTAGGACAAAAAAAAAGAGTTTTGTATGTTGGATGATGGTATTGCTTCAACATATTGAAACTTTTCTTTTTTCTTGAAGGCTTTAAAAAGGGTTGGAAAATCTGTAAATATCCAAGAAGTAATGGATCAGTGGACACTACAGATGGGTTATCCTGTTATCACTATCTTGGGAAATGAAACTACGGACAATGTCATAGTGATCTCCCAAGCGCGTTTTGTTTATGATAGTGATGCTAAACCCAAGGATCCTGCCCTTGGAGACAACAGGTACTTGCATTTCTCAATATCTTTCAAGAGGCTGTAGGTTTTTAAGTAAGTGCTTCATGTGTGTATTTTTATGAAGATGGCTTTTTAGAAATCTCTGAGCTTTGCTTGGTATCAATAGCATGTGGTGGCCATTCCATTTGAACTGTAGTAAAGATGATGGTAGTTAAAAGAATTGAAAAAATCGTTAGAGTAATAGAACAAGAAGATAAAACTTGTAATGTGCCCATTTTCATCCTGACAGTTCTCTCCGTGACTACGTCTTACGTCACACATCTGTTTCCTCTCCTTTTCTTTTGATTTTGTCGCACTCCATGAAGTAATTTGGAATGTGGTTGGAAAGTCTGATACTTCTTTTTAAGTAATTCTTTAGAGTGGACCTCTCCATGCTCATACATCAAGTAGGCAGATGTAACTGTGTGTCGGGTATATACCTCGCTTGACTTGGGAAGCAGTCAAGAGCTGAACTGGGCCTCTCTACAAGGCAGGGGGTTCCAGCTGTTCCAATTTTGAAGCCAGCTGAACTGGTCCTATGGAGATCATTACATTCGCTGAAATCAGCAGGCACTTAGCATCTCTGCCCCTACCCTTTTTCCACTTACTTTTCCTTCCTGCTCCCAGCTGCCTCCACGCACTTCCTTCATCCCAGAGACAAGTTGACATTCCTGGCTGATGCTGGGGAATCCTCATCTTACTGTTTAAAGCAGTTTTGGCATGATATTTTAAGGCCAAGGATATAGAGCAGATGCCAGAGATTTACAATTTAGCCTTAGAAGCTTCTGTGTTCACCTTTTCATACTCAGTGGGAAAGAGGGCATGCTCTCAACCTTGAGTACTCTGTGCTTGTCCAGTAGATTTAAACCATTAAAAAGTAAAATTTAATACCAAATTTTGCTTGACATGTCTGGAGCTTATAGAATATTCCTATTGAGGAAGGCCTAAAAATATAGTTATGTTTATTGGGAAATGTTTAGAAGTGTGTTATCCTTTTTTAGAACATGAATATTATGGAACTCAGACATGACACAGAGTAAATTGTTGTTTTTCTGGCTATATTGGAACAACCTAGCAGGGTATTAAGCATCTGTTTAAGTTCTGGGCTGAAACTAGTTCCTTTGTGAAAAAGAAATAAAACAAGCTAATGTGGACTGTTGGAAGTGTTCATGATTCACAGTTCAGTGCAGCGTGAGAGTGATTCTCTCTTATTCACTTGAAAATTTCTTTTGTGCAAATGTATATATGCCTAATGTAATGTGAGTGGATTTTACTACTCAGAAAAACAGAGATTATTAGTTTTTTGATTGATTAAAACGGAGATGTTAAGCCTTTCAAGTATTGTAGAGACTTTCTTAAATAGATTTGCTAGGTGCTCAGTATTGCTGTAATTCATGAGTAAAGACTACTGGGTGCGTAAATGTTTTGTAAGGTGGAACATCAGGGGTGAGAATAAGACAGTTTTATTTTCATGTGACATTAATTCAGAATTCAAACCATATCTTGAGGTACGTGGAAGGGTAGTGTTCTGCACCAATAGGGCAAGTTATGCTGAATTTCTTAGGAGATTTTGTCTACATATTTTATCAAAATTATAATTTCTAAACAAGGGAAGTAAGATTTAGTGCTATAGGCAGCACCAAAAAAGATATCAGCATGGGCCCTGCCGGGAATTTACTGTCCTAACAGGCAATACAATACATAATATATGTATCTCCTG